CTCACCTACGTTGATCTACAAGAGAATTACTACCACAATTTGCAGGAGACTCACCTACGTTGATCTACTAGAGACTCCAAGATGCATCCATTCCATAAAAGTCAAACATAACACAAACATCAACATTTAAGATGCAAAATCCACAGGAGTTTCTCACCTACGTTGATCTACAAGAAACTCCAAGATACATCCATTTCATATTCTCAGAGACATTATGATACATAGAAGCACAAAACAATAAAAATAATAAATATTATCTAACCAAAATAGAGAATACTAAAATTGTAACCACAATTAATGTTCCAATACCAAAAAATATAAAATACTAACGGATATATTGATAATCAGTTTCTAGAATCTGACAGATAATAATTCAAGAAGAAGTTAGTGATGATATCAAAATAGTTTCTTAAGAAACAATTCTAATTCTAAATGATGCTTAAATGGTCTAATTTTCTTTCTATTTTAAGTATATATCACTTAATATTGTCAAGGATATGGTTTAAGCAATATGGTTCTACAATCTCACGGATACTAGATCAATAAGAATAATGTTATCAAGACTCAGAGACCAAACGATAGACACAACACAAGTACCATAACAGAAGAAATTTCAATCACTGTTATGTAAAAACTCAAGTCAACAGATACAATTTATAGAATCTAACACGGTAATCATCAACATTAGGACCATAACACATAACAGAAACATTCAAGATTCAAAGAAACTACTACCACAATCTGCAGGAGTCTCTCATCTACGTTGATCTACAAGAGACTCTAAGTTACATCCATTTCATAAAATGAGAGACCTTATAATATAATACATACAAGCACAAAACTAGAGATAATAGAGATTACCTACACTGCAAATACACTCAAAAATAGAAAATGTACCTGTTCATCAATGAATATGTTAGTATTTTGTTAAGACAGATTAAAAGAACTTTTTAGCTATACTTGGAGCCTAGATCTTCATTTCCAATTTCTTTACTTTACACATATATCACTGAACTCAGCTTGTAATTTTTTATAAGTAATAGTATCAATTTACAAGAGAGGAAAAGTCAAGAAAAGCATATACCTGAACTAATCCTTGGCGTCAATGAGGATATGAACAGTTTTTGAAGCACATACCTGAAAAAAATGAAATTAGTCTTTATTTCATGTATGTGTCTTCCTTGTGATATTCGTAATTGTATCAACTAATTTACAAACAAGTTTGAAAAGCACATACCTGTCAAAGAAATCTCCTCTGAATCTCTAACAATTTGAGCACCTTCTAAAGCACATACATACCTGCGGTAATCAGAATTAATTAGTCTTTACTTAATAAAATGTCTCGTACTTACCTTGTGAATCTTTACTATTTTAAGCCGTTGGTAATAACGTAAGGAACCAAATTTTCGGTTCATAGTCTTAAACTTGTTTTAAGCCGTTGGTCGTTATTCCCATCCAACAAGCAAAAAACCGACATGTACTTTGCCAAGCCTTGTGGTGAAGTGAGGATTCTGTTTTTGATTTATTGTCTTTGTAACTCTATTCATCCGTTGGTTCGTTTTCCACTCATAGTCTTTTATCTGAGAGCTTTTTTTAAGCCATTGGTAGTAACGTAAGGAACTAATTTTTCGATTCAAAGTCTCTGTCTTAAGAGTTGTTTTAAACTGTTGGTCGTTATTCCCATCCAACAAGCAAAATAACGAACTGTACTCTTTGTCTAAATACTTTGCCAAGCCTAGTGGTGAAGTGAGGAGTTTGTTTTAAACTCTTTTCAGCCGTTGGTCGTTATATCCATTCATAGCCTTAGTCTAAAGACTCTTTTGTAAGCCGTTGGTAGCACTTTTTATAAGCCGTGGGTAGTAGTATTGTTTAAAGACTCTTTAAAAAGCCTTTTGCGGATCATAGTCTTTGCCTTTTAAGACCTTTTATAAGCCGTTGGTTAGTGTGAAGTAAGGAATCTGTTTCAATTCATAGTCTCTGTCTAAAGACTCTTCATAAACAAGAAATGATCTTGTTTTCGATTCACAAGCCGTGGGTAAAGCAATATTGTCTAAAGCTCTTCATAAGGCGTTGGTCGTTATATCCATTCATGGCCTTAGTCTAAAGACTCTTTCGTAAGCCGTTGGTAGCACTTTTCATAAGCCGTGGGTAGTAGTATTGTTTAAAGACTCTTTAAAAAGCCTTTTCGGATCATAGTCTTTGCCTTTTAAGGCCTTTTATAAGCCGTTGGTTAGTGTGAGGTAAGGAATCTGTTTCAATTCATAGTCTTTGTCTAAAGACTCTTCATATCGATTCACAAGCCGTGGGTAAAGCAATATTGTCTAACGCTCTTCATAAGGTGTCGGTCGTTATATCCATTGTCTAAAGACTCTTTTGTAAGCCGTTGGTAGCACTTTTCATAAGCCGTGGGTAGTAGTATTGTCTAAAGGCTCTTTATAAAGCCGTGGGTAAGCAGTGATTATGTGCTCGATTCACACTCTTTGTTAAAACTTTACATAAGCCGTGGGTAGCAACTGAATCCGTCTTAAATTCACAGTCTCTGTCTAAAGACTCTTCATAAGCCGTGGGTAGTGAGGTAATGAATCCATTATCACAGACTTTTTCTTAATCCCTTGATCGCTTTTTCTCCTTTCAGAGCCTTTTCTCTGAAGACTTTTTGTAAACTGTCGGTCGTTACATCCATCCAACCAATTTCATAGCCTTTGTCTAAACACTCTTTTCATAAGCCGTGTGGGTAGCAATGAATCCGTTTTTTCATTCACCGTCTCTGACTAAAGACTCTTCATAAGCCGTGGGTATCATCAAAGCAATGAATCCGTTTTCAACCTTTTTAAATCCTTAAGACTTTTAAGCCATCCAACACATTTATAGCCTTTGTCTAGAGACTTTTTGTAAGCCGTAAGGTAAAGAAGCCTTTTCAATCACAGTCTTTGCCTTGAGACTTCTTTTTTTGTTGTTGTTTACCTTAAGGTCGTTTTTTCAATTCCATCCAATACGACTTTTAAGCCTTTGATTAAGCATGCACTACCACCCAACACATCGGTTCAGTCACGCAACGGGACATTATGTACCCAAACTAGAATCTGGCACAGCACTATTAGATTAATGTCTGCCTTTTAATCTTTTTTGGGATTTCTAAAACTAAGACGACCGTTCATCTAATAGTCTCTTGGGTTTGATCAAACCAAAACCAAAAGCAAATCTTTTGAAATCTTTATTGAAAGCCGAAATTTTGTTGTTGAATCAAGAAAACAAATCGAGAAAATATTCTGATTCCAAAATCCTACAAAACTAAGACGAGCGTTTATCTAATAGTCTCTTGGGTTTGATCAAACCAAAACCAAAAGCAAATCTTTTGAAATCTTATTTTGAAATCTCGAATTGTTGAATCAAGAAGACAAATCGAGAAAATATCCTGATTCCAAAATCCTAAAAACATCGTCCATGTCAAAAAGAATTGAATTTATCAAATGTGTTCGTCCTCGTTCGATTCAGTGCTTAAGAAACAGAGGAACAAAAACAATTTGCGTGAAATTTCAACCAACAAAACGGGAAACTTGAAACCCTAAAAAAAAAATCACAAAGAGGAGGAAGAAACCCAACCGATTGCGACCGTCAGTTTCACGCGAAAACCTAAACATAATAAAAACGAACAAAAAAAAATTCACGATCTAGAAGAGACTGGAAAAATAAAAAAACTTACTAATCTAAGAATCTCATGAACTTCCCGCTTGTACAAATCGCCGAAGAAGACTTATCGAGAGAAATCGTCAAGAAAATGGGAGAGAGAGAGGGAGAGAGAGAGAGAGAGATTGGGAGAAAAATAAATAAAAAAAGTGAATAACTGTGGAGATATATTTCTCTGATACGCATCTTTAACAGCAACTACTGTTTCTTAACGGATATATTTTCGAACTTATTATCGTGGGCCGATATAACCGAACTGAACCGGATTGAGATCCTCCATTTCCTCTAAGCCGAACCGAACCGGATTAAGCCGTGAGTAGCAACTGAATCCGTTTTCAACATAGGCCTAACAAAATTGCAAACTACGCCCGACAAGGCCCACTAATTTATTTTTTTCTTTAAAAAAAATGTCTACTCCTTCTTTACGCTCTATTTTGGTATCTCACAAATTCCCATTCTCTACCCATCTCTACGATATTTTACCTTCGTCAATGGCAAATTCGAACACATATCTAACCACACCATCAGCCCCGGCCCAATGAATTTTAAAGCCCCAAGGCAAAAAAAAATTTAAGCCCTTTAATATCAAAAATCAAAATTTTTTGGACTGATTTTTTTAATAAAAAATATTAATTTAAATATAAAATATATTTTATTAAATCAATATTTTCGAAAACGGAATTTTAAATGTACATTATTATCTGAAATTTGGTCCAGGCCCCTGGGTAGACGCATCTGTACCCACCTCTCTTGGACCGGGCTTGCACACCATTGGTAGTTAACACAAGATAAGTCAAAGCAGTGTTTAAATTAAGGAAACAAAGAAGTAGTTGACTCTGCCAATACTTAAAGATTCCATTTGAACAAGAAAATGGTTAAAACAAAGAGAGAAGAAATCAAACCTTATCCTCAGCTAGTGAGGGAAGATGAAGAAGAACATCGAAGGGCTTTGATAGGGCTTTTAATTGCAGAATTCTACCATGTCTCCTTTTAATTAGTACAGATAAAATACATTTATAACATTCAGATTACAAGTAAATGACATATTGATATCTAAAGTATGCGTGACAGTTCTGTGAGCATTCACAGGTTCTTTTTTAGTTGTTTTGGTAGTGGTAACTTCAAGGTGAGGTTACCATGAAGAAAAGGTTTGTATCAATATCAAGCAGTATACAACATTCGAGCATCGCAGAATGTGTATTGTGAGACATTATAATACAAAAAGGACAAGAGCAGTCTCTTAGGCATGTAATGTATGTAACCCCAAATATTACATTTGTACAAGAGAGTAGAAACAAATGCTCTGATTACATCTCATTGGAGACAATACACTCATCCACGAGCTGACGGGGATTAGGATTCTCCAATGCAGCTATCACTTTTTCTTTATAACTGTTTACTCACTGCAACAACAAAAATGACCCTATTTTATCAAAGTTCAGAGCAAAAGACATCAAATTTATGACAAATACAAAGATATAGAACAAGATTTGGCAGTTATGTTAGACTGAAAGCTAAAATCTATGAGCATATGTTATAATTTTCCAAATATCATCGATTTTATTGCAAGCTCTGTACACTTGTTATAGAAAGCATATGATTTAAGCAGCTTGAACTATGTTGGTCTAGTGGATATATATATATGAACTCCTCACCTGATACTTCATCGGCGTGAGTTCCAGGAGAGACTCTGATATCAACCTGAACATGAGTAGAACGAAACAGAAACAATTAAACATATATAACCTTATAATGAAGTGGACGAATTTGTCTTAATCAGAAAAGTGTGGTGACCTTATAATGAAGTGGTACACAATCTTTTAGCTTAGCCCTCAAACACAGACCAATAACATTTGCCATACCACAATGCTGGATCGTCGGTGTAAACATTATCCCAAGTTAACCACACAGCCAAAACCCAATATTTTTGTTAATGATCATATAAGGCCTTAGCATTTGGATCTAAATTCTATGACACATTCATTACAAAAAAAGGAACTTTGTTCTGATAATCTACTCGTACTACACCGTCAGATAACAAAAAATAATCTTAAATATAAGTACAGTTATTATTCAATATTAAAATTACATAATTTTAAGATCTTCTTAACTCAACCCCAGTATATTTTCTAACTCACTATGAGATTCCTAAGATCAGCTACACTAATCAACATTCAGGATTTTCACCTTGTGATAACTTTTCATCCTTTTCACTCAAATAGCCAGAACACTTGTCAAACTCTTTGTTCACGTCTAAGAGGGTGTTTCTCTCAACCCTAGAGAGAATATACTTAAGGATTTTGTACATAACTCAAGTTTGCATCCTAACAAGTTTCCAAGGCCAAGAGGAAATATTTCATTTTGATTTATCCTCATCAAAATAAATATAATTACAATACTTTTAGCCTCCGGTTTCTTTGGCATAGTCGTTATCACTGCCTTCTCTTGGCTCTACAAGTAATTAATTTATGCCAAACACACACAAAAAGTGACCAAGTTTCAAGATGTAGCTTCCTATAATGCGCATTATATATTGTATAATTACAAAGTCTGAATACTGGAGAATTAGTAATATGGTGATCTGATCAGAGGATAAAGAACACTCGAATGAATCTTGGGATCAATAGATAGGTTTATGCAACGTGTTTCACAATTTGTATAACCTTGCATTTCATTTTTAGTAATATTTACATTCTTAGTAAAAAAATACATCTTAATTTTATTCCTTAAATATTATTAATATTTATCAAACCTATGCGGTTTATTATTTGATAGAAATTAGAGTTATAGATAAAGTAACAAACATAAATATATTTATCTAGTGCTTCCATATTATTGTTACTGAATGACTTTGCTATGGACTATAAAGATTGTTTATGTATATCATCAATTTAGTATCTCTATACCATACTATTTGTAAACATTTTTTTCTTTGTTCATGTCTTTGAAAGGAAAATTCATAAAGAAAAAGAATAGATATATATATATTTTTTGTCGGTTGCTAAGAGCATCTCCATCAAAAGTATGGGGAAGAGTATCTTAATAACATAAAAGAGAGAATGAAATTTTCTCTCATTTAAAATACTTTGCGTATTTAAGATACTTTACGTATCTCAACATTTGTGAAATACTCAAAAAATATCTAACTTAGGATATGGGCATGCTCTAAGTTATAAGATTTTAGTTTTTTGGATGGTAGGGACGCGCGAACCCATGCCCCGTCTGCCACAAATAATGATGCATGCTCTTCCACTTGGAAATACTTTAAGCTAATCACCCTTCCTGAATGTGCAATGGAAGTCACTAGCCTAGGCCACTCGTCTTCTTGATCAACAGTTGACCCTGTCAGGTAAGAAATTTTCTCGTACTCTCTGCTTCTCTTCTTATACTTTGCTTCACCAACCATTCTCTTAATGTGTAAGCTATGTGGGACTGTTATTATCACTTTTCACACATTCTAGACTTGAAACATCAGAGTTTTTAAGGGTGTTATGGTATAGGCCCGTTTTAAGTGTTTGAGAATGAAATCTTTAAAAGTTTGAGCAAAAACAAAAAAAAACAAAGTGGAAGCAATGTAGTTAAGTTATCTGGTGAAATAAGAGAATCCAAAAAACAAAGAGTAATACCACCATACGTATACTTCATCGATCAAACTACTAGTGTTCTTGAAATATTTAAATAAGCCAGAATCCACACAATAGAATTCTGTTTAGAAAAAACAAAAGAGAACTGAAATTTCTAAGGTAAAATACGAGTACAAAGATTCAAAGATCGTGTTCTCTTATTGTTGTTTGTTAAGTTTTTGAACAAGAAAGTGATAAGCGTGTTGCAAGTGTTTAGCTAGGTTTTTTGGCTGTCCCCTTTACAAATGAACAAAGTCTCCTATTTAGACATTTTCTTCAACCACCTAAGCAAGAATCTCGAAGTACATTTTGTAGATTCTCCTTCCATTTCTCTTGACGGCACCTCATTTCGCAAGGTTGTATCTTCTAGGGGCAAATCTTGCTTCAGACTTTCCATGGGTTTTTGATCCGGCCGTGTGCTTAAAACATTTTGTTTTAGGCTTCTTATGTTGTCGCCTAGGCCTTATCAAGGAGCCATTCTACTAGTTTGGCTCGGTTCAATCATTTCAGCCAGTTTTGTTTGGTTTGAAAGATCTTCCACAGTTTGACTTGGTTTGCCGTGACCCATTGATTTGGCTCTGTTTACGATGTGGCTCTCCAGTTCGGCTCAGTTCACTGTGGGTTGCCGGTTCAGCTCGGTTTGCTAGGTCTTCACCTCTCTATGTTGTTCTGATCCATCACTTCATCGGGCTTGGCTAGGTTCATTTCCACACTTAGTTGTTTTTCTTGATTGATTTCGTCGGGATGAAAACTGACCTCAATAGTCTGCTCCCCATCTCGTTAGATTCAAAGATGTGGATGATGAGGTGTAATGATGGGAGATATCAATGGTTCAAGATGTTTGCTCCATTGACGAGGCCTTTGCTTTGTCGAGGAGGCGTTTGCTCCACTGACGAGGCGTTTGCTTCATCGACGAGATGTTTCCGTAGAAGTGCGGCTTTTTAGTGATGATTTATATGTCTGAAGTGCTTTGGATGTCTTCGTTTATGAGGCTCTTGATTTGGGCCTTGCCTCCAAAGTTTTTGGGTCCATAGCATGTCGTCAAAAAGCCTAATTATATCTTAAAAGTGTCGAAACTTCCTTGGGAATAGCCACCGTCTTGTCTGTTCCTAAGGTGATGCGAACCCACGCACCTGCTTGTTTATATATACTGAAGCCCTCTCTAGTTTTCTCATAATCTCCACTTCTCCAAAAAATGAAAGGTGTATCTCTTCTCTATCCTCTCTTGTTTATGTTTATGTTTATGTCTCGGTTATGGTTTCTCCGTTTTTGGTCATTCCTCTGTCGACCTCATTGATTTTTTTATCCACATTCAAACTATTCGACCAATCTTCAAACTATCTGATTAATCTTCAAACTTTATGATCCTTCTTTGAACACTCCACCAATCTAGGAGTCATGGATTCTCCACTGTCTTCCCGAGCCGAGCCGACTCCTTCTAACTACCGCACCAACCGCTGTTGTTCCTTCGAGGAGATCTCCTCCAGTGTTGTTGTCGTTTGTTGTTCAGGTGGTCATCTCTTCAGATCTCGCGTAACTCAATTTGTAAGTGTAAGAAAACTTATAGAAATCCCTCCTCATAGCGCCAATTTGTGTGAGCTGGAATCCAAACAATAAATTTTTGTTAGTAAAAACAAAAGAGAACTGAAAATTTTAAGGTAAAAACACAAGTATAGAGATCCAAAAATGGTGTTTTCTTATTGCTGTTTCGTAAAGCTTTTGGTTCAAGAAAGTGATAAGCATGGTGCAAGTGTTTAACTAGGTTATTGGGTCTTTCCCTTAGCAAATGAACTAAGTCTCCTATTTATATATATTCCTTAACTGCCTCAGCGAGAATCTAGAAATATATTTTGTAGATTCTCTTTCCATTTCCTTTGACGGCACCCCCTTCCACAAAGTTGTATCTTCTTAGGGGAAATATTGCTTTGGACTTTCCATGGGCTTTCGGTTCAACCCGTGTGCTTAAAACATTTCATCTTGGGCTTCTTCCATTGTCGCCTAAGCCTTTTTAAGGAGCTATTCTACTAGTTTGGCTCGGTTCAATCCTTACAGCCAGCTTGGCTTGGTTTAAAGGATCTTCCATGGTTCAGCTCGGTTTTCCGTGACCCATTGGTTCTGCTTGGTTTGCTATAGCTCTTCAGTTCGGCTTGGTTTTTTGGTTTGGCTTGGTTCACCAGGTCATCGCCTCTCCGGGTTGGTCCAATCCATCACTTCTTTGGGCTAGGCTAGGCTCATTTCCAAACTTAGTCGTTTTTCTTGATTGATCTCGTCAGGATGAAAACTGATCCTAGCAGTATTAATTGACATAATGAAGAAAATGGATAAAAAACATTTCATTATAAATTTTAGGAGATGTCAAATGTAGATATCTGCATTAAAACCTCCAAGAAACGCTATGCAAAAAAACGTTTGCACAACTATATAAGTTTAGAGACCACAAAAAATATAATAAGGTTATGCAACGTGTTGCACAATTTGTATAACCTTGCATTTCATTTTTAATAATATTTATATTCTTAACTAAAAATATAATACATCTAAAATTTATTCAAACATTATTAATAATTATCAAGAGGATTAAATATTTGGTAAAAATAAGAGTTATAAATAAAGTAACAAACATAAATCCATGTATCTAGTGGTTTTATACAAATGTTACTGAATGACTTTTCTATGGACCATGAAGTTTGCTTACATATATCATCAATTTAATATCTCTATACCATATTATTTGAAAAGATTTTTTTCTTGTATGAAATGTTTCTTCATGCCTTCGAATGGAATATTTGTAAAGGAAAAGAATGGATATTGTTGGTACCGATTTTATCATGCCCAAATACGAGCTCGACATGTGGACGGCAAACTGTCCTAGACACTGACGCGCACTAGACTAGCTCGGCCAACCACTCCCAGGCACTACTCCGGAGCAGTTGGCGAGCTTCCCCAAACACGCCAGAATCATCACCATTACATGTTTCCCTGGCGCGCCAGATGGAGAAGACGGGACATGGAGGACGCGAGTATAAAAGGAGAGAGATCACCACATGAGAAGAGGATTGACTCGGCAAATCTAAAACCCCTCTGAAGGAGGAGGTAATAAGTGAAACCTGAGTCGGTCAGCCCCGACAAGCAGCATGATCACGGGAGAACTCTGTGTTCCCCCGGGCAAATGCCTTCCAGGATAAGTCCTCTCTCAACCCGAAACCATACCTTTATACTTCCATCTTCTCTCTTATCTCTATCGTA